TCCATGACCGTGTCCATGCCATGGTCATGCCCAGCCCCACCACGTGTCCATCCCAAGCCCAGGTCCATGGAGATGTCCAGTCCTGCACCTCCATCCCCATGGCCACTCCATCACTGAACTGATCCCTGTGACATGCCAATGGTCACACCCATCCCACGCCCATGGTCACATCCATCCCATGCCCATGGTCACGCCCATCCCATGCCCATGGTTGTGTCCATCCCACGCCCATGGCCATGTCCATCCCATGCCCATGGTCGTGTCCATCCCCTGCCCATGGTCACACCCATCCCATGCCCATGGTCATGTCCATCCCACACCCATGGTCACATCCATCCCTTGCCCATGGCCGTGTCCATCCCACGCCCATGGTCACTTCCATCCCATGCCCATGGTGACATCTATCCCCTGCCCATGGTCACTTCCATGCCATGGCCAAGGTCACGTCCATGCCCATGGTCGTGTCCATCCCATGCCCATGGTCATGTCCATCCCATGCCCATGGTCACACCTATCTCATGCCCATGGTCACATCCATCTATGCCCGTGGTTGTGTCCATCCCATGCCCATGGTCACATCTATCCCCTGACCATGGTCACATCCATCCCATGACCAAGGTCATGTCCATCCCATGCCCATGGCCGTGTCCATCCCATGCCCATGGTCATGTCCATCCCATGCCCATGGTCACACCTATCTCATGCCCATGGTCACATCCATCTATGCCCATGGTTGTGTCTATCCCATGCTCATGGTCACACACATCCCCTGACCATGGTCACGTCCATCCCATGCCCATAGCCATGTCCATCCCATGCCCATGGTCATGTCCATCCCACGCCCATCCCATGCCCATGGTCACACCTATCTCATGACCATGGTTGTGCCCATCCCCTGCCCATGGTCACATCCATCCCATGACCATGGTCATGTCCATCCCACGCCCATCCCATGCCCATGGTCATGCCCATCCCATGCCCATGTCCTCCCGATGACCACTCACTCTCGGTGGGCTCCAAGCCCACGTAGGAGCCAGTGAGGAACCGATGGACGAGCGCCGACTTCCCGCTCTTGCTGCTGCCCAGGACCCCCTGGGTGGGCAGAGGGGATGTCAGGATGGCTGAGGACATGGTCCTCGGGGGACACGGGGACACGGGGACACGGGGACACGGCACCCACCAGGCGGATCTCGGGGATAGAGCGGCCCAGGGTCCACTCCTGGCTGTTGACCAAGGCCTCTGCGGAGGGAGATGGGTGAGACAGAGCCCGGGAAGCCCGGGCACCCCCCAGCAGCCCCCGGCACCCCCAGGAGCCCCAATCCCCGGGGGGCCCCACCCCGCAGCGCAGCAGCAGCTTCCTGCGTGGGCGGCCACCAGCTGTCACCCAGCAACGGCAGCGGGCCCGCGGGGGCGGCGGCAGGACGCGCAGATGCCACGTGGCAGGGACGGGGACGTGGCAGCACGAGGCGTCGTGTGCCAAGGCACGAGGACGCAGAGGGCACGGGGACACGGTGGGCACGCATGGGGGAGCGCGGCGGGGCACAGGGACACGATGGGAACGGGGACGGGCACCAGGACACCGTTGGGGCAAGGATGCGGCGTGGCATGGGGACACAACGATTCCGGGGTGCGGCAGCCACGAGGGCACAGCGTGGCACCAGGGCGTGGTGTGGCATGGGGACACAGCGGGAAGCAGGCCACAGCGGGCGCCACCAGCGCGAGGATGTGGCATGAGGACACGACGGGCACCAGGACACGGCGTGGCGGGAGGATGAGGGGTGGCACAGGGACGCCGTGGATCGTGGCACACGATGGACACGATGCCAGCGGTGCACGACAACCTCAGGCTGAGGATGCAGCATGGCGTGAGCACGAGGTGTGGCACAGGGACGCGATGGACGCCAGGGCACGGCGTGGCAGTGTGGCACTGGGATGTGGTGTGGCACTGGGACATGGTGTGGCACGAGGACGAGGGACACGGCATGCAGCATGGCACTGGGACATGGTTTGGCACAAGGATGAGGCATGGCACAAGGGACATGGCATGCAGCGTGGCACTGGGACGTGGTGTGGCACTGGGACACGGTGTGGCACTGGGTTTGGCACATGGATGAGGGACACGGCATGCAGCGTGGCATTGGGACATGATGTGGCACAAGGACATGGTGTGGCACAAGGACGAGGGACACAGTATGCAGCGTGGCATCGGGACACGGTGTGGCACAAGGACATGGTGTGGCACGAGGGACACGGCATGCAGTGTGGCATTGGGACACGGTGTGGCACAAGGACATGGTGTGGCACGAGGGACACGTGTGGCACAAGGATGAGGCATGGCACAAGGGACACGGCATGCAGCGTGGCATTGGGACACGTGTGGCACAAGGACATGTTGTGGCACAAGGGACACGGCATGCAGTGTGGCACCGGGACACGGTGTGGCACGAGGACAGGACATGACACGAGGACACGGCGGGCACCAGGCTGAGGCGGCAGCTCGTGTGGCACACAAGGACACGGCGCGGCACAAGCGCCTGGCCTGGCACGAGGACGTGCCCTGTGCCCCCCCCACATCTCCTACCTGGCATCCCCTCTGGGCAGAGGTGGCACCACCAAAGGGGAACCCGAGGCAGGACACAGTCAGGGGGTCCCCCCCCATTTCTGTGCCTCAGTTTCTGCCACCAGCACGGAGCCGGGTCCGTGCCAGGCGCGCGCCAGCCGGGAAAGGGTTAACGCTGCTGCCTGTCACCCCTCGCATTGTCACCGAGCTGCCACCCCCGGCCCTGCAGGTGCTGCCCACGCGCCCCGCGGTGCCAAGGTGCGCAGGAAGGCACAGGGGTGCCGGGGGGGACAGAAGGACACGGGGGGCCGTGGGGTGGCCGGACAGATGGGGGACAGGATGTGCAGGTGTGACGCACGGATGGAGGCGAGGACAGACGGACGGATGGCGCGACGAGGAACAACGGGGGTGGGGAGGGGGTCGCGCCTGACCCCCGTGGAGTTCCCCCAGCGGGGAAACCGAGGCACGGGATCCCCACCACGGGAATCCCCAGCAGCACCGGCCCCCGCCGGGTCGGACACCTCACATCGCCCCCAAGGCACAAACACGGCCCGGCCCAGCCCGGGGTCACAGCCCCGCTGTGCCCCCCGTGCCCCCCGTGCCCCCTGTGCCCGCCTGTGCCCCCCGTACCCCCCACCCCACAGCCACCGGGAGCAGACGGGTCCTGCTGCCCCACACGCGACCCGCGGGTCCGGGCGCCTCCTCCGCCCGCCGGGGAAACTGAGGCACAACACCACGGCCAAACAGCGCGCACCGGTACGCCTGCCCCAGGTCACCGGGGGGGGCGCGGGGACACCGAGCCACGGCCGGGGCGACCCCCGGGCTGCCGCGGGCCGGTACTCACTGTGCGGGGCGGCACTGGCCGGGTCGGCGCCGGGGGGAGACCAGGGGGGCGCGGGGTGCGTGGGGGTCGCCGCGGGGCTCTTGGTGAAGATGCCGCTGATGAACTTGAGCATCTTTCGGTCGCGGGTGGAGGCGCGACCCCCCTCGCGTCCCCGCTTCAGCCCGGTCTCGGGGGCCGGGGCGGGCACCAGCCCCCCCGGCTGCAGGTCGCTGTAGTCCAGGGTCTTGCTCTTGCCCTTGCTGGGGGACAGCCGGGCCCGGGGGGGCCCCTCGCTCTTGCCCCCCGCCTTGGGGCGCCCCTTCCCCTCTCCCTCGGGCCACGAGAGGCGGCTGCCGGCCGGTTTTGGGGGGGCCTTGCCCGCCCGGGGGTCGGGGGTGCCGCGGGTCCCCCCGCCGCTCGCGGCTTTGGGGGCTTTGGGGCCGGCCAGGCGGAGGCGGCGGGCGCCGGCGGAGGGGTGCGGGGAGGCGGCGGGGGGCTCCGGGGGCGGGGGGGGCGGCCTGCCTCCCTCCGGGGGTCCCTCGGGGCCCCCCCAGGTGGCCTGGCTCAGCAGCGGGCGGCGGGGGGCCGCGGCGGGCTGGGGGATGTCCAGCGCGGCCAGAGCCCGCTCCCCCGGCCCCTGCAAGGTGCCCTTGGCCCCACGGGGGTCGGCTTTGGGGGGCACCGCCGGGGGCGGGGGGGGCAGCGTGGCCGGGTCGGGTTTGGGGGGCACGGCGGGGGGCGAGGCGGGCGAGCGGGGGCGGGGGGCGTCGGGGCCGGGGGGGCCGGGACCGGCCGTACTTATCCGGAGCGCGTCCTGCCGCTGGAAGAGCCGCTCGGGCCGCCGGGCTCGGCCGGGCTCGGGGGTGCGGGGGGCGGCCGCAGCCCCGCCGGGGCCAGGGGCTCCATCGCCGCCACCCCCCGCCTCCTCCGCCTCCCCCGCGGCGCCCACCGACTCGAGCTTGACCAGCGTGAGCGAGATGAGGTAGGTGGTCCTGCGCTGGAGGCCGGTGGTCCTGCTCATGGGTGCGGGCAGGGCCCCCCCGGGGCGCCCCCCCGGCCCCCCTGGATCCCCGCGCGGCGCCGCGGCCGCCGGTGCCGGTGATGCTCCGGTCCCACCCCCGGCCCTGCCTCCCCGAAGCCTTCGCCGCTCGCCCGCCCCCGGAGGGGTTGGAACCGCCGCCGCCCCCCCCCCGAAATGCAGGCACCCCCCCGCCGGCCGCGGATCGGGACCACCCCCCCCTCACCCCCGGTTAGCGGCCGGGGGGCATCGCGGGGGGATCCCCCCGAGCGGGGCAGGGCAGGGGCCGGGGGCT